ACTGCAGCGATGTTACGATAGCCACAACTTCGCAGTCAGTGTTAAATCTCCCTCATTCAGTACTATTGTAATTTTAAACAGTTACCGAACAAGTGGTCGTAACTTGATGACTATTGTTACTACAAATGTTGCTTATATAATATAGGTGACATTATGTAAAGATATTGCTTCCACCCCAATGTTGTTTCTGCAACAATGTGGAAGTGGTTTGCTCTTGCTTTTTTCTGGGATTTTTCTCCATTCAATGCAAATGAGATCTGATTCTGTTTTTTTTTTTCATAATCATTTAAGCAATACCATCTATAATGTCACCTATATTATATAAGCAACATTTGTAGTAACAATAGTCATCAAGTTACGACCACTTGTTCGGTAACTGTTTAAAATTACAATAGTACTGAATGAGGGAGATTTAACACTGACTGCGAAGTTGTGGCTATCGTAACATCGCTGCAATCTTATGATCATGATCTGGGTGCTTATGTAGTCATGTGATGGCTATTTGTGACCTTCCCCTGCTGACTTCCCACAAGAAAAATTAATAGGAAAGCTAGCAGAGAAGGTTGCAAGTCACTCCCATAGATATAAAGCTAGGAGAGAAGGTCGCAAGTCACTCCCGTAGATATTCACATCATTTTTTTCTCCCAAGGACTTCTGCTATAGAGTATGAGATCTAGAGAATCTCATACTCTGTTGGCACCCCCTGCCTGCCTGCCTTCCTGTACCCTGTAGTGGTCACACCAGCCTTTCCACATTTCATAGCATTTGCCCTTGGCCCACACCAATCAGTGCTTAGAAGCGTCCACATGTATCCCAATTGCTGTCATAATTGAAGGACTACCTGTAATGCAAATTGGAGAATGCTTATGAGATACATAGCAGGGACTTAAAAGTTAGAAAGAACATAACATGTTCTTGAATTCTCTGATAAAAGCAACAACCTAGAGCTAGAATAAATCTGGATTCTGGAATTAAATGACTTCTGGATCAACAGTCCCTTTGTCTAGTGAGCTTCTTCCCATTCAGTTCCTCATAGCTATAGATTATCCACAAAACCAAGTGGTATCATTTCAGTTCTATGCCCTAATCTGAATTCTAACTGAAAGGATTCTAGATAAATTGTCTTTCACACATCCTCTTAATTTGCTGGCCACCTCCTTTTTCAAGAAAGAAAAGGTTAGAGACAAGGTGGAAATTGTCAGGAATTGCTACTTGAGCGTACTGCTGCCTTTGTCAAAGGTGATGGTACCACTCCCATTTCAAAGAGGCATTTTTTGGATTTAGCTCTTCATCTCCATCGCTAAAATGATCCAGGAAGGGCAAGGATCCAGCCCACATATTCAGTATTCACATAGGATTCTTCTACATCACTGGAATTCACAAGATCAGATGAATCTCCATTGATAGGAAAAAACATCATCCATGTCAACTCATTGGACTCATTAACTCTGAAGGAATATGTGTGATTTTGTCCACCAAACACTTAGTAAAAAGATCTTAACAGTTTTCAAGAATTTCTTCTTGCCCTCATTCCTTAATTGGATCTGAGGCCTGTACTTTGGATAACATACCACAGATACAAAAATTTTTTAGCTACCTTTCGTAGATTTTAGTGAAAAGTCTTTCTAATGAAGATTAATATTTTTGCCAGTTCTCATGATGTACAACTTCAGCAAATCAAGGAAGTGTAAAAAAAAAAAAAAAACGAAAGTGGAAAGGAATTTAAAAGAATGAAAAAATGCCAAATACAAAAAAATTACACAAAAAGCTAAAAATATATTTTTTTAATCTGGAAAAAAAGGGATGGAGGGAAAAACAATGAGTGGAAATTAAAAAATGACAACTTAGATCTAATAATACAATAGAACTAATATCATTAAAGCTGATTTGTGGAGCAGATCTTCTCATGTACGGTATTTTAAGTGCAACTGTATAGACCTGGAAACATTATATGTGTATTGTAAGGGTTGATCCAAAATTATCTGGATTTCATTTTTGTCAGATTGTTGAATTGTCCTTTCCTTGTTGAATTGCCATACAAACTTTGAGCAACAATGCTTCTGTTAATAACAGATTCTGTTATATACATGAGGCAAAACATATTTTCTGTTTCTACACTCCTCCAGTTCTCACAAATTAGGACAAATAACCTTACATTACTGTAGTCTTTTCAATGAAGAGTTTGAAGTGCTCTTATCGAGGTATTTGTGCTTAAACCTAGTTCTAGGAAAACAGAAAGTAAAGTGCTTTGGATCTTTCCTGTCCAACATCCATTGTAACAAACTTCCTGAAACATAAGGAATAGTGGTGGTATAATCATATAGTCTTGCACACAGAAATTTTTAGCAAACAATCTAATGAAGCCAAATCTTTAGAAATAAAAAGGATTTTATTTAAAAATGAAAGCACACATAATTCCAAATTAAATTCATACATTAGCTAATTAAATGAATGATGTGTTTCCATTTTGCATAAGAATCTGTTCATATTTCATTTCAAAGAACTGAGCCTTCTGCTTTGATTATTGGGCAGATTATCTTTGTTCTTTCTCCTCTACTTTTTAAGCATTAACCTCACAGATTTATAAAATATGAGGGATTAGTGGAAAAAAGTCAACTTTCACTTTGACTCATACAAAATCTGCCATCTCTGATGCCAGGAAATTGGTAAACTCTCTAGGAGCAGATGACAACTTCTTAATAGTTTCCTATGGTTGAATACTTCTGCCAGCCTAGCAGTTCAAAAGCATGTAAAAATGCAAGTAGAAAAATAGGAACCACCTTTAGTGGGAAGGTAACAGCGTTCTGTGCGCCTTCAGCGTTTGGTCATACTGACCACATGATCATGGAGAGTTCTTCAGATAGCACTGGCTCTTCGGCTTTGAAATGGAGATGAACACCGCCCCCTAGAGTCAGGAACGACTAGCACATATGTGCGAGGGGAACCTTTACCTTTACCTTATGGTTGAATAATACAGCAAGTTTGGTCAAGTGGTTTCGGTTTCAACTAGAAACCAAGAGACTGTGTGAAAGGGACTGGCCCCAACTGGTTTCATAACTAAGCCAGGACTAGAACTCACAGTCTCCCAGTTTCTAACCTATTACCTTAACCACTACAGACTTGCAAAAAAATGGCTTCTTTCATCAGTATCAGCAGTAAGATTTATTAAAGCTTATTTTATTATTTAGTGTAGCTTGCAATGTCCAATAAAAGTGCATGTTTGACAAAGATATGTTGAGAGAGAAGTTACAACTTTGGATGCCCTTGAGGACATTTGTAAAATATCATTAAGGGTTTTTTTTAATTCTATAGAATGTCTTGAATATTCAAGATTTAAGAACTCCACACTCATTTCTCACTGCAAATAAGAAGACTTCTCTTTTATTTCCTGAAGCTATATTTTCTTCTCCAATCTTGCCTTTGCAACCCTTTAATAACTTCTGTCCCATATTCCTTGACCTACATTCTTTTCAGGTTAACTGTGATAATAATATACTTCCTTATTTTCCATTTGTTTTACAGACTGGAGAAATGAGGTTACTAATTCTTTACTTTTAAGAGTTAGCCACAATGGGAAACAATATTTCCAAAAGAATGTATCCCTCTTTTTTGAAGAACAGAATGAAGACTAAGTGTGCTAGTCAAAACGAACACCACTTTAACCAAAACTCCACATTAGAAAACTGTTGCCATCCTAGCATCCAAGACCTAAATGGTAGCAGTGATGAGGAGTCTGAAGATGGGTTTTACAGATTTGTGATTCTTCATGCTGAGGAAGATATAGAAGAAGCCATTAGAGTCCAAGACCTCTTACAAAATGAATATTTTATCAAACCAGGAATCATTTTTGCGGAAATGCCTAGTGGTAGGCACTTGCTGGAAAATTTAACTGATGCCATTAACGATTCTGCCTGGATAATTATACTGCTGACAGAAAACTTCTTAAGAGACCTTTGGTGTGAATTCCAATCATATACTTCTCTTTTGGGTGCACTGACCATCCCACACAAACATAACAGTGTGATACCCATGCGGCCACGAAATAGACCACTCCCATGGGAAAGGACTCCTTTCATCCTACAGTGTATTAATGTTCTTCAAGAAGATAGCCCTGAATTTTCTTTTCAAGTAAAGAAAATTTTCCAAGAAGCTCGATATAAGCAGCAGGAAAAAGTGTGGCGGTATGGAAGAAAGAAAGAAATGGTCCCCAAATTCCTTTAGTGATAAATGTAAAAAGCAGTTTTCCCAAACCAGCTGCCTTTCAGAAAGGCTAGGCTAGAACAGAGTGTTCACAACCAGCATAAGCAGTAATCACAGGGACTGGCAAAGATGGGAAATACAGTACTAGCACATCTGAAAAACATTAGCTTGAAAAACATTAGTGTTACAAATGCATGTTTTAAAAAGTAATTTATTTGTTCAAAGATCCTGTGATACTAATCTCCCTATTCTTGATTTTGTTTTGGCCTGCTTTGTGGGAGTAGCTTGCTGGCCATGTGACCAGGTGGGAGTGGGTTGCCAGCCATGTGACTAGGTAGGCGTGGCCAACTTGTAAAATGTGGTGAAACTCACAACAACACTCTTGCTTAGCAACCAAAATGTTGGCTCAGAAACTCTGGCATTTGAAGCACGCAAGTCTTAAAGCTGTCAAGTTACAAGACCCTTGCACCACCCTTTAGGGAAAAAAACCCAGGGGTTTTCAAACTTGACAGCTTTAAGACTTGTGGACCTCTCGCTCTTCATCTTGATGATGTGCGGACAGGCGGGAGAAGGGAGATGGAACCGGTTCTAAACAGCACTGTAGATTTGTGGAACCTCTTCTATAGAATAGGTTAGAACTGGCAGGAACCCACCCCTGGTCTCACGTGATATTTTCTAAGAGTTAAAACAGATTTAAAGAGTAAGCACTGTTTGTGATGAGAATGTTCATCCTATTTTTGTCTTTGATAGATTTTTATGGATTTTAGTACTGTTTCAGAATATGGAAATACTTATGACTAGACGACATAAAGGGATTAAAGAAATGTACATTTTTGTTATCTAGTCCACACATTTTGCACTAAACCATAATGTGATTTAAGTTATGAACCAGTTAGTCTTATGTAAATAATTTATGGCTTACATAGGATATGTAAACTCAACTAATTACTGTGTGTTACTATATTTTTAATCCTTTTAAAATATAGTATCTGTTTTTCATCTTCAAATGCTGCTTGGCTGGACAATCTCTCACATTCCCCTGATCCCAATTGAGAATTACAGTGTTCATTTTATGCTGCTCTTTTATTCAGTGTAATAATATCATTTCCATTTGGATCAAACTGACCTAGCAATTCCAAGACTTTGTTGGAATAGCTGAAATACAAACTGCATTTTTGAAGGAACACAATGGAATTACAAGGTCTGTTCTGTGAAGTTTTGCAATATGGACAGATCCTTGTGTTCTGCAGAGCCTAGGTGTCAGTTAAAACTTGCTGGCAATTGTTTTCATTTATTAAATATTTCTGGCTAAGGACCTCTTAAAACTAAAAAGATAAAAGAGTATTTATTTCTTTTGTTGTTCTGATGTAATTGTAAACTGCAATAAATTGCATTTGAGCAGAGTTGAATTGTAACTCATATCAAATAACAAATTGGCGACTCTTTCAGTTTCTAAGTTATTGATACATCACAATAAAATTGGGCATTGATACTTATACCGTGTTCATTTTCAGTCATACTGATCTGGCTGAATGCCATGACAATTAACTGGATATATAGCTGACTCAAAAATTATATCCAGAAGTATTGTGTTGAATACAATTGAGAAACAGTTTCAAATCCACCCTCAACCATGGAAGCCAATGGATGACTTCAGATCAATAATTCTTTCTCAACCCAATCTACTTCGAAAGGTCATTATGGAATAAAATTAGGTGATAATTATATGCTGCAAGGAGAGCTAGTTACATGTGTCATCTTGAATTTTTGGAGGAAAAATGGAATATAACGTAACAGGTAATGCAATATTGTTTTATTGAATAGGCCGTGATATAGAACACACAGGCATAAATTAAAAGCCACAATTACTGGGTTTACACTCACAAAATCAAACACAAATCACATTATGGCTGGTAAACTATGCAGATGCTGTTGCCATCTAAATTAAGGATCTTGCTCTTTTTGTTAATTTTATGGTTCCTAAAGCCCCCCCCCCTGTATATTTGCCTTGTACTAAGTTAAAGCATTAAATATAATTATTTTAACATAACCTATACATTTATTGCTGACTTTATTAATTAAAGTTATATACTGTCCATCTTACTTTCCAAAATCACACAGGGTGGCTTACAATACAATAAAAAGCACAAATTAAAAACATTAAAATTAATAGGAATTTGATAAAACTAGGAACCTACTCCTTATCTTGACTGACTTTGAAAAGGTTCCTTAGATTTAGCAGAAAGCTATGAAATGAACTTGCCAAGTCTGATTCCTTTTTCATAATAATTTCACCAGAATAATTTTAAAAAGCAAATGTATTTATTTTTTTTAAACCATCGGATGTTTTCTAAAACAAAAAGCTAATGGTATATCTTAAAATAATTAAGATTTCCAAAAAATCAGTCTGGAGGTACAACTGGTATATGGGCCACAGATATTATCTTTGGGACATTGTTTTTATCTTTGAGACATTGCGTGCTACATGTTCAACCAGCAATTTTTAAAAGATTACCAGCATATCATAAAAGCTTCAAAAAAACCTGATCCATCATGCTGCCATGAAAGTAGAAGTTTGAAAACATTAGAATATATTGAAACATCTCAACTCCTAAGTGCATATTATCTAACCTAGGGAAGATGGAATGAAACTTTTATCTCCAAGTCAATTGCTAATGTTACATGCCCATCTCCAATGTCCCTATGGCAAGCACATTTCAAAAAGAAGCCCAGTTTTGTAAAGTTCTATCCATGAAGGATTTTCAACCCTTTGGGAATCCTATTTAGGGTCAAGGATACTATGATTAGGTACCCTGTTTTGTTGGTATTTCATATACATATCTAATGGTTTACCCTTTTTAACTGCTGTTCACAGGAAACAAATACAAGCTGGGGGGGGGGGGCTGATCATAAAAGTTTGCTTTTCCATTATGTTGTATTATTGTGCCAAAGACCTTGGCTGAGGGGAATAAGGTGCAGTTAGTAGTAGCCAACACTAGCTGGCAGACGATCAGCAGTACAAGCTGTTCTTGTTCAGATAGGCAGCAATGAATGCCTGACATACCATTAAGGTTGTCCGCTAGGATAAATTCCATTTTGCCCTGGTAGAAAGCCTTTTATGTCCTGACTGAAGCTAACACAGTCAAAAACATCTTCCTATGCTGACTGTTCTCAAGACAGGCAGACCTTTTAAACAGTACAGACAAAAGCTTCCTGTTGCACTGGAAGGGAACAAACACTATAAATAGGATACAGACAGTAATTCATAACACGACATTTTAAGCAGCAGGAAAACGTTAACAAAGCTTAGAGAAATGGAAATCTACATTTCTCACACACTAGAAACATATGGGGAATTCTGGGAGTTGAAGTCCACAAATCTTAAAGTTACAAAGGTTGGACATCCTTGCTATAAAGATTATAGCACATGTAGATTTTCACTGTCAAGGGATATGCGTGATGTGCTACATTATAAAATATAACCACTGGATTCACTCAATGCAGAAAAATTAATGTGATCTGGCTAATTTTGACAGTGCATAAGATTTCTGCCCATGCCTTGGAGTTGTATGAATTGAATTGTTTTGTTTGTAACTGTGCTTTAGTTCTTAATATGTTGTATGAACATAGCTACGGTGCTTCATTCACTAAATTCTGGTTGCGCTCATACAATCCATTAACCAGCATTCATATAACACTGATTTAGAAATTAAGTAGAGAAAGCTTGCACCAGAAGCCATCTCCTCTCCTAGCCAAGAAGATAAAATGATCAAGTTTAGCATGTTTTGAGAATGTAGTTGTTAGTCTTGAACTAATGAATTCAGTCGATGGACAAATGAATCATGATTTATAAAAATCCCTCCCTTTGAAATATCATCCTTTCAGAAATTACTGGCCTACCACTTGATACTCTTTCATAAGGCCCTGAAGGCTTGATTTTGCCAGCAGGCCTGAGGAACCCAGAGTGGGATGCAGCTGATCAAATGGCTCATTTGACTGTGTGTTGTCACCGGGAGTGGGGGGTTACTATGTTTAATTTTTTAATTTTTTTAAATTTAATTTAATTCTATACTGTGATTTTATTTCTTGTAAGCTGCCAAGAGTTGCTGTGAACAAGTAGGCAGCCACATAAATTTCCTAAACAAACATATAACACAATTGTCAAGATTCTCACAATATGCCAAGCCAGACATGCAAAACCTCTAAATTTGAGGTCAGATTGTGCATTGCATGTTGAGAACAGCACTTCAGCAGTGAGTAGCTACTGAGCACGTTTGGAGATAGAGTTTCAAGAGTGAAAAGACTGTCTTAAACATTTATAAATATTCTGGATTCTAGTTTGTTTTTTGACTTGGGCTGTCAGATCTTGCTGCAAATCTCTGGGCAACTACATGAGGGCTACAAACATTTTCTATGTCACTTTGCTGCCATTGAACTTTTGCTACCCAGATTTGAGTGGCCTATCTTAATAACCTTATTTAAACTTTCCAAAATTGTAAAATGCAGCCTAAACTTTCGCTCCACCCATTCTGGCTGGCATTAAAAGGATATTACTGGGCTCCACTTTTGGCAGCCCTGTTCTAAAC